CCAGTTTAGGAAGCCGTGTGTCCCTGGGAAGACAGCCTAGCATGTCTGCCCTAGCCCTGGCCTCAGTCTAGTCAGAGAAGGGCTCCCTTGCACTGAAGCCTCAACCCTCTGGCTTCCTCCGCTGAGTGTGAGAAGATCTACAAGTTTCTGTAAACACAGTTTGCCAGGTTATTTTCTGGGGCTAATCATTACAAGAAACTAACACAGGTAGTAAAATCCAGTCACGTTTTTTATGGCTCAACATAATTAAGGGCGGAAGTTCCTGTTTGGGGTGTTCCGGGCTGCCGTGAACCGTGACTGACAGATTGGAAAAGGTAGACAATCCAGACAAAATGCCAACCTCCACAGAGCTATGTGAGCTGGGAAGCTGGCCAATCCCTCCCCTCTGGCCTCAATTTTTCTCATGGGTAGGAGAGCTAACATTCATAGGTGTTAAGAAGGTAAATGACTAAAATTTAAACCCATAGGGTCAAATGACATACCACCTTTGAGATCCAATGTGGGAATTTAGCAAAGGGCTCTGCCACCCCTCTGAGAACTGAGTCTTCTTTGAAAAGCTTCCCTGGAGAGAGGGGAGATGCCTTGACAATCACACACTGTAAATCCAGTGTTGCCTTCCATCCCACTGCCTGACTGTCTTCATCCTCACTTGGCTTAGACACAAAGTTCTGGGGTTGGGGGTGCTGCCTAAAGTCCTTCAGGGAGCAGGGAGCAGACTGTCTGGTGGCTGGGTGACAGAAAGGAGACACGGACAGGAAGTGGAAAGGCCTAAAGAAGAGCCAGGATGCACTGATTCCACGCCCTTTCCCTTTGAAGACCACATACTGCAGAGACTGGAGTGGTGGCTTGTGCCTGTAAACACTAGCACCTGGGAGGCTGAGGTAGGCAGACCACTGTTGAGTTTGAAACTAACCTGGGCTACAAAGTGAGACCCTGCCTCAAACAAGCAAGCAAGCAAGCAATCAAAGAAACCAGCAAAAGGTACTCATTGTAACTGTGTAGTTGATGATTAAAATCTTATAAAATTACAACATGAAGTTAAATTTGATACTCACTGTTTTGGGCTGAGTGTTAAGACTATTCTCTATGCATGCCTGTACAGGCATGTGTATGGACCCCTGGAAAACATACAGAGCAGTTTTATGTGTTTGCTATGTGTTCCATGTACATCTTTTAGAATGTAAGTGCATCTCACGCATCTTTCTGAAACTTGAATTTTTTTTTTTTTTGGTCTTTTTGAGACAGGGTCTCCCTGTAATCCCAGCTGTCCTGGAACTCACTATGTAGATCAGGCTGGCCTTGAACTCACAGAGATCCTCCTGCCTCTGCCTCCCGAGTGCTGAGATTAAAGGTGTGCACCACCATACCTGGGGAAACTTGAATTTTATACTGAACGATACATCTTGGAAATCTTTGTTGCCTAGGCAAATAAATCTACTTTATCTGCTGTAAACCTTCAGAAAGAGGGGCACTCTCCAGTGTGTGGAGTCCTTTGTGGGCAATTTACTGTTCCTGTTACTGTACCATGAGGGTAACAAGCATCCTGTGTGTGCCTCCTTGAGCTCACGTGTGTCTCCCTAAAGTGGATCTTATAAAGTGGAGCTGCTTCATCCCTTACAAGGCACATACATTTTTACTTTTAGTAGGGTTTACCCAACTAGCTCCCAAAATAGATATTTTATATGCCAGTGGTATGTGAGAGGGTATTTCCTTCATCTTGGTCAACACTGTTGCACACAAGCAATTCAAATACAGTGCCAGTCTCTTAACCCTGGAGCCATCTCTCAAACACCAAAACTTAGGAGTTCTTTAAGCTTCCTGAAGGTCAATATTTTGGAATCCATTATCTTTCCCTGGGCTATTACTTGAGTTTTTCATATGACTATTCTCTCTCTCTCTCTGTCTCTCTCTCTGTCTCTGTCTCTCTCTCTCTCTGTACATACTGTATATACTTATGTATGTGCCTATGCACATGCTAAATTTTGATATGATCATATTATTGAGGTTTTCTTCTACGAATTTTATTTTGTCATATTCTGCCTATGAATGCCTTCCCTGTCCACAGGTCAGGAACTTATTTTCATACATTCTGTCTTATGATGCCCAAGTATTTTTCTGGCTCTGAGCACTGGTCAATCTCCACATGACCTCCATCAGCCATCCAGACTGCTCAGTGAGGAAGGATGCTAAAGCCTCTCTGGGAAGCAGTCATGCGTCCTGTGCTCACTGCTTGGCCCCAACTGTAGCTGGTCCTTAGAAAGCTAATGGGAATAGTTTAGGTTGTATTTTCTCTTTAAACATTTTTTTTGAGACAGCACCTCTTATATTCTAGGCAGGCCTTGAATCCATTATGCAGCCAAGGATGATCTTGAACTTCTGATCTTCCTGCCTCCACTTTGTAGGTACTAGTTTTACAGACATGTGCTACCATGTATAGGTTATGTGGTGGTGGGAATCGACGTCAGGGCTTCACGTAGGCTATGCAAGTTCTACCAGTTGAGCTATATTCCCAGCCCTTAAGGTTTTCAGAGGGAAGAAAGTAAAGAAACAGTTAAAACAAAAGAGAATACTTAAACTAATAATCCAGAGAAAGTATGGACTGACTTTCTGTAGAGAAGACCCACACCCAGACAGACATAAGTCCTTTTAAGGTACTGAGGATATAAGTTCATGCTTGGGGAATTCAGATCACCTGCTCTGTATTTCTGAGTCAACCCCAGGCAACACTGTCTAATGGAAAAGTAAGCTGCACGTGAGTTTTCATTTGCAGTCATAGTAAGACATAGGCTAAACAAAATATACAAGAGTTATACCTACGGCTCAGTGATGAATTGGGCACTTGTGATTTTATGTGAGACTCTGGGCTTGATCCAGCACCACAAAAAATAAAACAAAATCAAAACAAACAAAATAAGTCTAATGACTTAACCCACTGTATCCTTAAAACAGCATCACTTTGGCTTGTAATTAATATCTGACGTGAATAAGATATTTTATTTTATTTTGTACTGAGTCTTTGATGCTTAGTGTATATGTTATCCTCACGCACATCTCAATTTAGAGAGTGACAGTTTAAATGCTTAATATCCATGTATATCTAATGGATACTGCATTGGAAAGAGAAACTCTGAGCTCTAAGATAGAAAAAGTCAGCGATGTATTGAATGGTATCTTCTTGAGCTACATTAAAGTGTTTAAATGATCACAGTCTGACTTTATTTTGTCTATTTATTGATTTTGGTCTTTTTGAGACAGTCTCCCTGTAGCCCCAGGAACTGGAACTCACTATGTAGACCCGGCTGGCCTTGCTCTCACAGAGAGCCTGCCTCTGCCACCTGAGTCCCAAGATTTGCATCACCTCACCCTGCTCAGTGTGACTTTTTAAGACCATCTCCCTCTCCCCCCACCACTGTTTTTTTCTAATATAAATGTACCCTAACTTAAACTGACTACCCCGCCATCTACTCCTACTGATGCTATTAATCTTCCTAAAGTATGGTTTGTTTGGACCATTTTCTGGAGAGGGGTATTGCTGCCAGGGACCACTGTCGGGAAGAGGTAAAAGTTAATCTATATCTGGGAAGGTGGATAGGGATTAGTCAGGGGGGCCTAGGGAGGCATGTGAGTGAAGGTGTGACTGTGCCATTTAGATAGCAGACCTCTAACCCAGAGGGGCCCAGGACTTGAACTCTACACCTGGTGTAGAGTCATTACATCCATAGAGAAGAAGGGAAGAAACAGGACCAGAGGCAGGTAGATCAGTTTGGAGGACTGTGGGATGCAGGTAAGAAGTGATAAAAGTCAAGGCAGGATGACTCATTCACTCACTAACATCATACTCACTTATGGGCTGTGTGTGCTAGTGGTACTCAAGGCACTAGAGAATTAAGCAAAAAACGAAACAGACAAAATCTCTTGCCATCAAAGAATATCAATATACTACGGGGCAAAGGCAGATGAGGGGGGTCAAGGGAGCATCATTTGGTTTCAGAGCTCACTGAGTGAAAAATGGGATCATTCTCTGAAGGAGACATTACAGAAGGCAGAATTTACCTGGAAGAGTGAGATTAGATTAAGCTTTATTGTTTTCATAAAGATTTGGGATACTAGAGGTACACCCAAGTATATTTATCCTGTGAAATATGCATATTGGGAAGTCAAGAGAGAACTTGGGAAGGGAAGCCTAGATTTTCAATTCAAGGTGCATGAACTGTGCTCAGGTCCTGGGGATGAAGCTCCCAGCCCTGGGAGGATGTGTGGAGTCAGGAGTGCCAGCCCCAGTGTCTACGGGGCTCAGGTGAACTTCCCTGTAGGTGAACTGGGTCATGTATGAGACACAGAGTGCTGGGTTCAAAGCTAAATAGAAAGGAGTTGGTCCAAGGCAGCCATATCTGGCCTGTGGGCCACTAGTTTGCCTTGCTCAGTAGGAGGTGAGCAGAAGTGATGTGCTTTGCTCTAGGTCAAACCCTTGAAGAAGGGCTGGAGAGATGGCTCAGTGGTTGAGAGCACTGGCTGCTCTTGCAGAGGACCCAGGTTTGATTCCCAGCATCCACATGGCAGCTAACAACTGTCTGTAACTCCAGTTTCAGGGGATTCAAAGCCCTCTTCTGACTTCCCTGGGCACTGCACAACATGGGTGCACCCACCTACATGCAGGCAATACACTCATACACATAAAATAAAAATAATAAAATATTTTTTAAAAAGCCTTGAAGAAAGAGCTGGAGAGATGGCTCAGAGGTTAAGAACACTGACTGTTCTTGCAGAAGACCTGGGTTTGAATCCCAGCACCCACATGGCAGCTAACAACTGTCTGTAACTCCAGTTCCAGGGGATCTGACAGCCTCTTCTGTCCTCTGTGGCATTGTACAACACGGGTGCACTTACCTACATGCAGGCATAACACTCATACACATAAAATAAAAATAATAAAATATTTTTTAAAAGCCATGAAGAAGAGTGTATGTCCCTGCACTCACTTGCTCTCTCTTCCTCCACAGCTGGGCGTAAATGGTGTTGTCAGTGGGATTTGGAGCCAGAAGATAGAACTAAGGTCCCTATGTCATCGTTTGGAATATAGGCACCCACCAGCTGAGACAGCTGCTTTTGCCTATTATGTGAGAGAAAAACAAACTTTTGTCATGTGTGGACTCACATACACATTTGACTCTGTTACTACAAGCCTAGTCTGACCTGTCAAATCTGGTCCTAAATCAAACAGATGTTGATGTAAGTTCTGTAACAGCAGGGGCCATGTCTGTCTAGTTCACTGTGCAGCCTCAACCCCAGGCCCAGGACACAGCATGAAGTGACTATTCATCGGGGTTGCTCAGAATGACAGCTACACTTTATTGAGCATTGGTCGGGTGCCAGGCATCTTTATTCAGTATATGTTATTATATATTGCACACTATTTTACCTCATTTAATGGAAAGTTCTTTCTGTTTTGAATCCAGGTTCTATCAGTTACTTTTCTTATTGCTCTGACCAAATAACTGACAAAAATGGCTTCAGAAAGAAAGGGTTTGTTTTTGGCTCATGGTTTGAGGGGATACAGTCTTTCATTTTGAAGAAGGCATGGTTTAGAGAGCATGAAACAGCTGCTCACATGTGTCTGTAGCCAGGGAGCAGGGAGAGATGCCTGCTGGTGCCCAGATCATTTTTTTCCTTTCCCCCTTTTTATTCAGTCCAGGACCATAGCCCATGGGTTGGTGCTGCCCATGGTCTGGGTGGGTCTTCCCTCCTTAGTAATTCTTTGGAAACATCTTCACAGACAAGCCAAAAGGTGTGTCTTTCAGGAGATTCCAAATCCAGCCCTCTTGATAATGACATTTCACCACCACATAGGTACTTCATATATTGTACAAGGTTTCATTTCAAGTAATGTTAACTCTATAAAGAAGGTTTTCTTAGCATTCCTTTTTCCAGATGAGAAAATTGAGGCTTAGAGAGCCTGTAGCTATAGTGATATTGTGGTATATAGTTTTATTAAAAGATGTATTTAGGGGCTGGAAAATGGCTCAATGGTTGAGTGCAGGTACTCTTGCAGAGAACCTGGGTTCAATTCCCAGCACATGGTGGCTAATAACCACCCATAATTCCAGTTCCAGGGGATTCAATCCCCTCTTCTGGCCTCCATGGGCATTGCATACAGGGGTGCACTTACATACAAGCAGACAAAACACTCATACATATAAAATAAAAATAAATAAAAAATGCATTTATTCATTTTATTTACATGTATGTATGTGTCTGCATGAGGATGCATACATGCAGGACCCTGTAGAGGCCAGAAGAGGGCATTGGATCCCCTGGAACTGGAGTTACAGGCAGTTGTGAGCTGCCATATGAGTGCTGGGAGCTGAATCCCAGCTCTTAACTGCTGAGCCAGCTCTCCAGCCTCCATGACATTGCTGAATGACAGGGGTACAGGGGCACACTCAGAAAAGCAGCAGCAGATGATTCTGTCCTGTGTGAACATCATAGAGTATACTCACACAAACCTAGATGGTATAGCACACTACACACCCAGGCCATAATACCCACATGAGCACACACATAACATACTACACACCCAGGCCATAACACACACACACACACACACACACACACACACACACACACACAAACACACCCCTATTGCTGCTTGGACCATGTCAGATACAACAATGCAAGATTAAATCAAGCCCAAGAGAAAACACTGCAATCAAGCATTGTGGTAAACAGGTGATGTCTGAGGTGCTGCCTGCATAACAGCATGTACTGTTCTGTAGCTAACTTTTTTTTAATAAGTAGAAGTTCACTCTAAAATAACAATCAGAAGTATAGCACACTAAGAACACAAACCATAAATGTAAAGCAAACACAGTTGTTTATTACCATTATCCAGTATCATGCGCTGAACATAATTGTACATGTTCTGCTTTTATAGCACTGGCGGGGCGGCAGGTTTGTTTACATCAGCATCGCCTAGACACACGAGTCATGTAGTATAAAATGATGTTATGATGGCGACTGTATCCCTAGGCACTGGGAATCTTTGAGCTCCATTCTGGTCTTGTGGGACCACCACCCTACATGTGGCCCATCTTTGATGGAGATGTCACCATGAAGTGAATGACTGCACAGACTCAGCAGCTCCTGGCTGGCAACCACTGTGGCTGTGATTTCCTACATGACTTTGAGCCAGAGGGCATTTGTGGGGTGTAAAACATTCTTCTGTTCTTGATTCCTGAAAGCAATTCCAGAGTGATGTAAGTGATGGCCAGTCTTTGATTTTTCCTGAGTCCTTGTGAGCACACATGAGGTGATGGTTTGGAAAGACTGGAACTAGCCATGGCTCAAAAGGCTGCTCGACATCCTGAGAGGGAGGAAGGGTAGAAGGTTAAGTTGGACATCAATGGCCAATGCCTTCATTCATCTCGTCTATGTAATGGAGCTTCCATAAAACTCCCAAATGGCTGGCTTGGAGAGCTTTGGATAGCTGAACATATGGAGGGTGGTCGCTCTCACACACTGCATGCAAACACTTTATCCCTTCTCCCACACGCTCCCTGTTTGCCGCTTCATCTGATGTTCAGGACTTCTCCAGAGCTTGTGACTGTGTCATCTGGGGTGGGGTAGGACCTGGTCTCATGTATTGAGCTCTCAACCTGTGGAATCTGATGGTCTCTCCAGGTAGATGGTATCTGAAAGAAACGGAATTTGAAGATACCCAGCTGGTGTCTGCGGCAGAACTGATTGTGGGCTTTGCGGGTGGGAAACCCCACATGCATCTGCTCCTGCTGAGTGAGAAGCCAGGAGAAACCAAGCTTGTTTTATGCCTTTATCCTCAAGCAGGCTGAAGGAAAGTGCAGATGTAAGCGGATGACCTCCATAACCCACTTTCTGACACACCAGTACATGATCACCTCCGTATTTTTTTTTTTTTTTTTCCTAGCAGCAGAGTATTGCTATGTTGCCCAGGCTGGCTTTAAACTTGGGATCCTCCTGCTTCAGCCTCCAGTGGAGCAATGGTTACAGGCTTGTGCTACCACACCAGGCTCCTCACTTTAACATTTTAATTCATGTACTCCCTCCCTCTAAGGATATACCCTCATCGTTTCTCTTCATTTATTAAGCGCTGACTTTGTCAACCTGCTCAGGACCCATCGGTCACTGGTCCCTTTAATTAGTCCAGCAGAATTTTCATATATATTCCCACAGCAGGGATTCTATGTGACTGTCTGGCTTGAGAAAGAAGTTGTGGTGAGGGTAGCACTTTAATTAAGCACCATGTTTCCCTAGAGGATAGGAGAGGACTGAGCATCTACCATGTGTGGAGCACTGCAGGCATTGAGGACTAACAGAGATAAGACATGGTGAATCCTTTCTCTTGAAAAGTTCTCATCTTGGGGCTAGAGAGATGGCGGAGCAGTTAAGAGCACTGGCTGCTCTTGCAGAGGACCTGGGTTTGATTCCCAGCACCCATGTGGTGGCTAACAACTGTCTATAACTCCAGTTCCAGGGGATCTGATGCCCTCTTCTGACTTCAATGGGCATTGCACTTACATGCATTCAGGCATATACACTCAAATGCAAAAAAATAAAATTAATAAATAAAAAGAAAAGTTTCCATCTTGCTGGGGAAGCTGACATAAAAAAGTGTTACAACACAGAAAAAGTGTGCAACGATGGGGGCAGGAGAGCAAGAAGGCACGTCTCCAGGAAAAGGGGAGAAGGGATGTGAGAACAGCTGCAGGTGCCCTTTGAGCTGAGCCTTCTGAAGATGAGTAGGAATTTTCTAGTTTAAGAGGGATCCCACTGAGCAAGAAAAGCCTGTACAAAAGTGTGGACGATCAGGTAGCAGTAGCTGCCCAGATGAGCGAGTTGATTTGTTAGAATGTGGCATTCATTTATGAAGTCATTTATTTGCTCAACAGTGAGGGAGTGAACCTCAAGTGTGCCAGGCAGTGTGCTACACACAGAGGGTCAACACAGGGCCAGGAAGATAGCTCAGTCAGTAGAGGGCTTGTTTTATAAGCATGAGGACCTGAGTTTTGTTCCCAGAACCCATGTAAAAAAATCTGGGCTTGGGGCTGGAGAGATGGCTCTGTGATTAAGAGCAGTACTAGCTGCTCTTGCAGAGGACCTGGGTTCAATTCCCAGCATCTGCATAGTGGGTAACAACTGTCCGTGACTCCAGTTTCAGGAGATCTGATACCCTCTTCTGGCCTCTGTGGGCACTGCATGCACAGGTGCACATACATGCACATGGGCAAAACACTTACACACATTCTATCATCTATGTAATCATACTTTTTTTGGTCTTTTTGAGACAGGGTCTCCCTGTAGCCCCAGCTGTCCTGGAACTCACCATGTAGACCAGGCTGGCCTTGAACTCACAGACATCCACCTACCTCTGCCTCCCAAGTGCTGGGATTAAAGGCATGTGTCACCACACCTGGCAATCTAATCATATTTTACTATTATAATAATATCATGTAATAATATATATGGGCTTGGTGGTGTGTGTTTACAATGCCAGCACCCGCCTAACCAATGAAAACAAGGTGGAGGACACCCAAGGAATGACACCCAAAATCATCCTTTGGCCTCCACACGCATGTGCGTGTGCACACACATGTGCACACACACACAAAGTGAACAACACAGAATTGGTCTGTATCCTTCTGTGGCATCAAATCCACTAGGGATAAAGCTGATCATGAAGCTCTAAGAAGCATGTATGAGAGAGGATGGAAAAAAGGATGGAGTTTGGGATTAGCCCATTTGGTGAATTGTTTGCCTGGTGTATGCAAAGCCCTAGGTTCAATCCCCAGCATTGTAAACTGGGCCTGGTGGCACATGCCTGTACTCCAACTACTCAGAGGTGGAGGCCTCCAGAACTCTTCCTTGTCTATCTATGAGTTTGAGGCCAGCCTGAGATATGGAGATCTGTCTCAAAAGCAGAAACAAAGGAGGAAGGGATAGTTAGGCATGTGAGGGAGAAAGTCGGGGAGTGGGCTGGATCAAGTGGTAAGAGATTTCTGACACCATGCAGGGGAGAGGAATGCTCTTTAGTCTGTCAATAAATAGCTAACCCAGTTGAGAGACGATAGTTCTCAACTTTATCCAATTCTCTCCTCATTATTATTTTCAATGCAGATCTCCATCTCTTCCTTTCATGAATGGTATATTCTTCTAAGGGACTTCTAGCCTGTCACTCTACCCTTCCCTGACCTATGGTCCTCCAGTACAGTGTGATGGTTCAAAAGTGAAGGTCTGACCACATTGTAATGCTCCATGATGGGAAGAATTCCAGGTTGGCCCCATGATCTCTACCTCCTGGCTCTGGTGACTGTTTCATTACACAGCTAAAAAAGATTGTGCTGTTATAGTTCAGCTTGACCTTAACAGAGAGAGCTTCTCTGGGGGTTCTGCCTGATGAAGCCAGCCTTCTACAAACAGATTTTTCTCCCACTGGTAGTAAAGAGGATGCCAAGATGATGAGACACCAAGGGGATCGGACAGGAACAGTTCTGACCTGCCACTGCTGCTTTAAACGGAGACAGGAACCGCCCCATGGGATGACTCTAAGAGGCTCTGGTGACAGCCACCAAGAAGATAGAGCCTTCGGTCCTACAACAGAAAGGAATTGGTTTCTGGAAACGCATCCGGAAGGGTTTGGAAGTAGATTCCCCCCACTCTGCGCTCCAACCAGCCAACCGTGCCTTTAGCCTAGAACACTCTAAACAGACCACCCAACAGTCAAGCCAAGCATGATCTGTGACCTTCATAAAAGCTGTGCCTGACCAGCGGGAGCTGTGAGCACTGCCTCTAAGCCAAAGGCCTTCCAGTCTTTCTCCGCTGCAGTGGGTTACATGAGCATGGAGTGGTCTAGCCTGGTGCCCACTTCCCTCCATAGATCAGATCTGTGAATCCCCATGGCTATCGAGTTCATGGTAACTCATTACACAGCAATAGAAAATATATACCTTCCAGGTTTCTAAGCCTCCAGTAAAACAGCTGTGGATTTATCAAGTCCTGGATTTAATCCTTACCACAGTCCTGTTAGACAGGTATTTTTTTTATTATTATTATCACCATTTCACAGGCGAGGTTCAGTGAGAAATTACATCCTTTTCCTATGGTCACAGCTTGTAAAAGCAATCAGTCTGACCTAAGGCTTCTCAAAGTGCTTCAGACAAATTCAGACGAGTATGCATAAAGTTAAAGACCCTTTCTGATCTGGTTTCTGTTAGCCCATCCAACCCTTGTCAGACACTCCTGTCACTCCCTGCAGTGACTGTCATGTTCCACTGAGACCTTGGGCTTGCATATTTGTTCCTTCTGGCTGCAATGTGCCTGCCCCTTGCTCCATCCCTTTGCCCATTTGGCAAGTTCAAATGATCTTTTGGGTCTTGCCCAGATGCTACCTCCAGGGGAAGCTTTTGAGGACAGTAGTAGAGAGGGTCAATGCCTGCTGTAGCATCTAGTTAGGTTCCCCTAGCACCGCGACTGCCCTTGTCAGACACAAAAAACAGGGGATGGAAATGTTCCCTGAGCTGTGCTCTCCACTAGATGGTGAGCTCCATGCAGGCCAGGGCTGGTGACTTGCCCATCAGTAGATCCCTTGAACAGGCCTTGAGCACAGTGGGAACTCAGTAAACATTCCCCAAAGGAATCAGTTAACAAAAGTGCTTTATAAGAAGCAAAGCGGAAGCACTCAAGGTCTCGAGGCAGGGGAGTGAGCCCCTCAGATCTGTGCCTCCAAGGTCATGCTCAGAGCGGCTCTGGGCACAGGACCGCTCCTGCCCTCACAGGCAGCCGCGGATGAAGGAAGTTCATTTTGCTTTTCGACTTCGGATTTCTTGTGCTGTGTTACTTGACTTTTAGCATTTCTAGATCACATTTGGATACCACAAAACAGCGGAAGCTGTTATGGTAATGGCCTCAGTTTCCCTTCCTGAAGTAGGACCGATGAAAGAGCTTTTAATTTAGTTCTGGACCCGAAGGCCCACTGTAACAGAATTTCCCTGGTAAGAAGGTGTGGGAGGTAGAGGCGCCCCGGGATCCACAGATCTGACCTATGGGGGAACTGGGCGCCAGGCTAGACCATTCCGTGCCATCACTAGTTGGTGAAGTCCACTGAGGTTGAAGACTGGCTTAGGGGCAGGACTTACAGCTCCGAGCTGGTCAGGCAATGGATCACAATATATGTGTTGGAAATTGCTGGCTAGCTACCTCAGTTTCCCTGTCTGTGCTATCCTGAAGGACCAGAGCCACAGCAAGGGGCGCCCCGCGGGGAAGGTGAAGGAGTCAGGTTAAAATGCTTCCAGCCGGCTCTAGGCTCCAGGATCCGCTGAGCTGATAGTGAGGCGCGGGCTCCAGGCTCCGCGGCGGAGAGATCCTAAACTCCTTCCTCGATCCAGGAGGAGAAAGCGGCGAATTGGACCCGGGACGCCAGGCACTCCAGCGCGGGGCAGACCCGGCGCAGCAGAGCTGGGAGGGGCGAGTCTGGGCGCCGCGCACTAGGTGCTCCACGCCGCAGCTCCGGGCACTGGGGGCGGGAAGAGGTGGAGCCACATGGGGAGGAGCAAACCCCGGAGGCCTCGGGCACAGTGGGCAGAGCCAGACCCGCAGGAACCCGAGTCGGGGCGCGCTGCCTCCACAGAGCCAGCCGTCCCGGCCGAAAGCAGCCGCTGCAGCCGGAGCCACCGCCTGATTTCAGTGCACAGCGGGAAAGAAAGGCTTCTTCAATCCCGGAGCTGCCAGGTTACCCGCGCTGCCACTGGCAGCGCCCAGCCGGACCTGCCACTTGGGTCCCCGTTGCGCTATGGATTCCTCGGAGAAGAAGATATCGGTGTGGATCTGCCAGGAGGAGAAGCTGGTGTCCGGCCTCTCTCGCCGCACCACCTGCTCCGACGTGGTGCGGGTGCTTTTGGAGGACGGCTGCCGGCGGCGACGGAGGCAGCGGCGGGGCCAGCGACGCGGGATGGCGGATGAGCCATCCGGGCTGGTGGAGCTGCCGGAACCGCGGGACGAAGAGGACGAGGACGACGAGGAGGAGGCGCTGCCCCAGGGCATGCTGTGTGGGCCCCCGCAGTGCTACTGCATCGTGGAGAAGTGGCGGGGCTTTGAGCGCATCCTGCCCAACAAGACGCGCATCTTGCGCCTCTGGACCGCCTGGGGCGACGAGCAGGAGAATGTGCGCTTCGTGCTGGTGCGCAGCGAGGCGTCGCTGCCCAACGCCGGCCCGCGCAGCGCCGAGGCGCGCGTAGTGCTCAGCCGCGAGCGCCCCTGCTTGGCCCGGGGAGCCCCCGCGCGGCCCAGCCTGGCCTTGACCCAGGAGAAGCAGCGGCGGGTGGTGCGCAAGGCCTTCCGCAAGCTGGCCAAGCTCAACCGGCGGCGCCAGCAGCAGCCGCCGTCGCCTTGTTCGTCCACCTCTTCGTCCACCGCCTCGTCCTGCTCGTCGCCGCCGCGGTCGCACGAGAGCGCGTCGGTGGAGCGCATGGAGACGCTGGTGCATCTGGTGCTGTCGCAAGATCACACCATCCGGCAGCAGGTGCAGCGGCTCCGTGAGCTGGACCGCGAGATCGACCGCTTCGAGGCCAAGGTGCACCTGGACCGCATGCGGCGGCACGGAGTCAATTACGTGCAGGATACTTACTTGGTGGGGGCCGGCATCGAGCTCGACGGACCGAGCCCGGGAGAGGAGCCGGAGGGGGTGACGGTGGCCGAGAAGGGGGCGGAGGCGGCGGCGGCGTCCCTGGACGGAGAGGCGCAGGAGGCCGCGCTGGAGGAGCTGGCTCAGCGCTGTGACGACCTGCTGCGTCTGCAGGAGCAGCGAGCCCAGCAGGAGGTGTTGCTGGAACGTCTGTCCACCGAGATCCAGGAGGAGCTGAACCAGCGGTGGATGCGGCGGCGCAGGGAGGAGCTGGCGGCTCGCCAGGAGCCCCCGGAACCTGACGGCGGTCCGGAGGGCGAGCTGCTGTTGGAGCAGGAGCGGGTCCGGACGCAGCTCAGCGCTAGCCTCTACATCGGGCTCCGGCTCAGTACCGACCTGGAGGCCGTCAAGGCGGACTTGGATTACAGCCAGCAGCAGTGGGACAGCAAGGAACACGAACTGCAGGGCCTTCTCCAGACTTTGCGCACTTTGGAGCAGACTGCGGTGCCACCGGAAGTGGCCTTGGGCTCCGACGGACCCTCGCGGGAACCTCAGCCTCAGACTTGCGCGGAGATGTGGGTAGACCAGGCCCGTGGACTGGCTAAGAGCTGCCCTGGCAACGACGAGGACTCGGACACTGGGCTGAGTTCCATGCACAGCCAGGACTCGGACTCGGTACCCCCTGTGTGCGAATCCCTCGTGTAGGAAGGGCAGGGAGGGAGCCTAGACTGACCTGTCTCTCTTGCTTACAGAGTGCACTGACCCGACCCGCTCTGCTCAGAGACTTGAAATGGGGCCGGGTGAGCTTAGGGCTCTTCCAGGAGGCAGCAGCGTTCCCACGGTGTGGCCCTGGGGAGGGTAGGAGACCCATGCCGGACAGCGTGTGCCTTTGACTCCTCCGGGGTGAGTGTGAAGGGTCAGGAACCGGGAAGCCCCATGAGCCTCCAAAACTCTTTAAAAAAATGAGAGAGAGAGAGAGAGAGAGAGAGAGAGAGAGAGAGAGAGAGAGCTATAGGATTCTTTATCCCAGGTTTTCATATTGGTACTGCTGATGGCAATCTGAGAGTCACCCAACATTGTACTAAGTTTTGACAGTGGAGGATGACACACAGGAGCAGCCTTGCTGGGTTGAGGATTGTTCAACACTTGAAATGGGCTTTGGATTCATTCTTGGTTGAAGTCGACCATTACTCTTGCCCCAACCTGTCATCAGGGTTGATAACTATGTCCAGTGAAAATCTGTTTTAGAATCTGGAGCATCCACCTCTCTCTATTTGTATGTAGCCTAAGGAATTCTGATTCTTCAGTGATTTCCAGAAGCCTCTGGGAGAGAGAGAGAGAGAGAGAGGAGAATCCCTCCTGATTTAAAACAAAACAAAAGAAAAACACCAAGAAAAAATATGGAGCTTTTACCACTCTTCTGTGTGGGAAGGACAGATGACAGTTGGAGCTGTGGTTTGTGACATGAAGTGCTCTTAAAAGAAACACGGATGAAAATGAAATTCCTTGGGTGTTAATTGTGACTGTAAACATGTTAAAACTAGCGGAAGGACTGGCTCCTGATTTAAAACAAAACAAAAGAAAAACACCAAGAAAAAATATGGAGCTTTTACCACTCTTCTGTGTGGGAAGGACAGATGACAGTTGGAGCTGTGGTTTGTGACATGAAGTGCTCTTAAAAGAAACACGGATGAAAATGAAATTCCTTGGGTGTTAATTGTGACTGTAAACATGTTAAAACTAGCGGAAGGACTGGTGTTGGTCTCAGCCTTGCTTAACATCTTTGATGGAACCCATAGTCACCCAAATCCCGATTGTTTACATTTGTGCAGGTTTGGGAATCACCCATCTGGCAAATCACTCCCCTTTTATTTTCTTTCAAATGTTAAACTGTATTGAAGTCTAACTCTGTGCGTCTCCCTGTTAAATACAATGTGTTAACACCCTCCCCTAAATAACCCTGTATTATTATAGAAGTCAAACATAGCCCCTTTGATACAGAAAATCCTGGCAAACATAATCCCGGGTTAAAATTTAATCTGGGCTCTTTGGGATCTGTTCCTGCGAAGGCAGGTGCAATGTCCTTCACTCACGTTGCCTTTTCCTGAACTCTATCACAGTTATTTAAGAAAAAAATAAAAGGGAAGTTACAGATGTACCACAACTCCATTTGCTGTTTTAACGAGCACTCTGGTGTAAACTAAAACTTAAAAGCAAAGATCTTTGCATAGCGTTTAGCTGTTAAATCAAGCTATGTAATTAAAACCAACCATGACTTCATGAATTTTACCCAGTATCTTTGGTGGGAGATAAGTTACTTCCTCAAGTTTAAATTGCAAGTGCCAACTAAATTCAAGTGCAAACATCAGGGTTTACTAAGTAGTTAAGGCCTCCAAAAGGAGCAGGGGTGGGAGACGGCCAAGCAGTCTGATAGGACACCTTGGGTAAACACATTGATGATCCGCAGCAATAGTCATGGTATAGGCGTATTAAAACGAGCCAAGGACTTGAGGCCTGGCCGCACCTCTCTGCACGTGGCAGGGGAGATGTGAGGGTGACATGTCTCATGTAGCTGATGATAGAACTGGGGGGGCATTCAGTGTAATTGTTCCAAAGGTATTTCTATTAAAACTTATCAGTTGTAGGTGGCTGTTGGGCCCTTGCAAGGAGCTAGTTGGCTCATTTCCCTTTAGAACCCAGTACTTCTGAGGAATGTGGATCTAATCTGTCCAGAGGAGGTAACAATGAGGTGTGTGTGTGGTGCCAGGGAAGTGCAGGAGGTTGGTATCAACCTAACTGGTGAGGGGCTGGCTCCAGTTTCCACAACTGACAGGTGAAGTTCAGAGGCGTTGGCTTTTTGCAGCAGTTTCTTCCTTTGCAAAATCCACTGTCTGTGTGTTGCCAATAGGAGCTTGCCTTTCTGAATTCAAATCAGCGTTTGGGCCGTCTCTGAGTTCTTAGAGTCCCAACACTGCTGTCGCTGTGGAATGATAACAGGTGTGCCTGTTTTCAGATTTTCAAATCAAATTGGAATTGAAAGGTTAAAGGCCATTTTCTGGATCTTTTTCAAAAGACCTTACTTGGCCTAATTATGTTGTCGTTTGTTTGTTTTTAAAGTGTCACTTGATGCAGAAAACCAGCCACATACATACTTGGTCCTAAGCATCATTGAATGGAGGAAGGGACCAAAAGAATTCTGTTTGATCACTTAAACACAAAGCTTAATGACAGCTTTTGTTTTTTGAGGCCGAGGTAAAAATCTTCATTGGAGTGGGACAAATGCCACTTGTCTGAACAGTTTATGCCGCCAATTGGCTGACCTGGTGGTTTTTAAAATTATCATGCTTTTTTTTCTTCCCCTCCGGGGATGAAGGGAAGGTGGTTCTTGGACGTTGATTAACTCAGAACACAGAAGTTGGCAGAGCACAACTGCCTGGCAGAAAGGAGCTGTTTTCCTTTTGACTATTATTATTTTAAACTTTGATGGGCTGCTGACGTCAGCAAATATGCCTGAAACCTGTAAGGCAAAGAAGCCACATCACAGGAAGAAGGCCTGTGGGGGTTTAATGGTGCCGTTTCTAGAGCCTTCTCTGTCCTGACCACCTGAAGATGTTTCCCTAGTTAACTCTTCAGGCATCTGGGGAAGCTTTGTGTGTAACAAAGGGCGGCTTGGTCTGCCCAGTTTTGCTTTCATCCAAATCCATTATATTCCTAAAAGGCACCCTCAGTGTGAGTAGGAGACAGGAGAATGTGGGGCAGGAGGAGAGACAAAAGTTCCTTTTGTGAAGAGTTTTTGCAAGCCCTAGAAAGGTTTAAGTATAAAAAGTGTCAAGGCAGTGTGCAGAGGCACTGCCTGATCAGTGCCAAGTGGGTTGTATTTCCCTGTGTATGTGCAGTCCCCATGGTACCAGGGATGAGAGAGAACATTGCAGTCACTGTCCCTGGGAAGGGGACTCCTGCTCTCCAGTTGCTTCCAGGCTTGGTGGAGATCCAGGGGAGGAAGCAGGAAGCCTGCAGAGAAGAGGGCCGCATCAGGCTCCTGCTGGCCAGCCCCATCCTTCTAGAATCAGGACCATCCATTGTTTACTCCTTCTTGTTCCATTCTCCCACAGTAGTCTTCCAAATCCAAAGATCCCATCTGGTCTTAGTATGTTTGTTTGCTTCCTTACATAAAACGTAATTATTGGGCCGGGGAGATGGTTCATTGGGTTAGCCGACACCAAGGATGGTGACCTCAGTTCCAACCCCATGTGGTGGAGTGTGCCTTGGGGTGTACCTGCATACACTCAAGTATGCTGACACAGAATAAATTAATGTAAAAATGTGATTATTTTGCTCATTAGAAAAATTATACACCGCAGTCCTGGTGATGGGTCTGAAAAATAACATGAATAGAAAAAGAAAAAGCACCCCAAATCTCTCACCACAAAAAGCCTGCCTCTGCCACAATTGACCAAAGTTCCTTCAGGACTTACTCTTTTTTTAATGATTTTTTAAAATTTATTTTTATTTTATGTGTATGAGTATTATGCCTGCATGTGTGATAGTGCACCTGTATTGTGCAGCACCTGTGGAGGACAGAAGAAGGTGTCGGATCCCCTGGAACTGGAGTTATGGATGGTTGTTAGCCATTGTGTGGGTGCTGGGATTTGAACCGCAGTCTTCTGCAAGAACAGTCAGTGCTTTTAACTGTTAAGCCATCTTTCCAGGCCCGCTTCAGGGCTTTTTTTAAAAAAAATTGAAGATTCTCTATTTTGCTTTAGTGTTATACACTATAATTAAAACTTTTAAAATTTATTTTTATTTTGTTTATATGAGTGCTTTGCCTGCATGTACATAAATGTATCCATGTCATGCAGTACCTATGGAGACTAGAAGAGGGCATCAGATCCCCTGGAACTGGAGTTACTGATGGTTGTTGGCCTCCATGTGGGTGCTGGGAACCAACCCCAGACCTCTGCAAGAACGGCCCGTGTTCTTAACTGCTGTGTCGTCTCACCAGCCCCATACAATATAATTTTGATAAGATTACATGAATGCTTTGACCCTAGGCTTTGACAGACTACTTGTAAACAGATCCATTCAGCTGGTGAATAGGCCATAGTTTCCATGACAACTCATGTTATCAAATTGCCCTCCCAACTATTATAAAATAGCTCCATAGTAAGCATCTTTGTGAAAGTATATGCTTCCTAGACTCCCTTCTCCCCCCAAAACATTTCCAGGAAGAGAATTCTCACATTAAAGAGCAGATATAGTTGGAAGTTTGATGCTCACTGCCAAATTGCTCTTCATACAATTTATTCTAATTACAACAAGCTAGGTACAAGAGTGCCTCAATTAGCTTTCATTATGTATTATATTTTGTTAAGAAAATAGTTGCATCAAAATTTATTCTTTCATTGTGGCCTCAAAATCGGGGCTGGCCATCACTGTCCTAAAATATCCTTATAACCCCAAGGTAGATCAGCTGATAGAGGTGTTTAGAGGGCTTTGAGTCCAGCTCAGTGGTTGAGCTCTTGTCTAAATGCTCCAGGCCCTGGATTTGATTCCCAGTCACAACAAAAGCCTTTACAAGGATGTTAAGAGGACATAATTTCGGGACCTGGGATGTAGCTCAGTTGGTAGAATGCTTGTCTATGTGCACGAAGTCCTGGGTACCATTCCCAGCACATAATCCAGGCATGGTGGTTCAGGTCTATAATCTTAGCATTCAGGAGGTGGAGGAGGAGGGTCCAAAGTTCAAGGTCATCCTTGGCTACACAGTGAGCTTGAAGTCAGCCTGGACTACATGAGTGTCTCAAAAGAGAAAGAGGGCATAGTATTCTCTCCATTTCCCTCCTCCTCTGAGCATCTATTTACTTACTTGAAATCTTGTCTCCCATCAGAATTGGCCAGTGATCTGAGGGTAAGAGGAGCCAAAACTCCCCAGGAACAGGATCAAGGAGATAACAAAGAGAACTAGATTTATAAAAGCAAAATGTTATCTTTTTCATCAGAGTC